ATTTTATTTTATTTCATTTCATTTCGCCACGCCCATTTTCTTTTTGTGTGTCTGTGTGTCACTTATAGCCCGCAATTCTTAATTGATCGTTTTGAAAACTTCTTTATACTTATTCCTTATACCCTAAGGCTGGCCTGTATTATTTTTGGTGCCTGCCCGACCCCCTGGGGCAGACCCACGCCAATGTTTGTGTGTCTTGTGTTTCGTCTACAGGCCGCAATTCTTAACAGATCCTTTTGAAACTTTGCATACCTATTCATTATGCCCTAAGGATGACCCCTCTTGGGGTTTTGGGTGATTGCCCAACCCCCAGGGGCAGAGTCATACCCATTTTTCCTTGTGTCTCTGTGTATTGCCTACAGGCCACTATTCTCAAGGGATCGTCTTATCGCCTAAGGATGACAACTGCATGTCCCGACCACCAGGGACAGAGCTACGCCCAATTTTTGTGTTTATGGTTTACAGGCCGCAATTCTGAATGGATCAGCTTGGTACTTTGCATATATTCCTTATATCCCAAGGGCGTCAAGTATTGATTTTGGGGAATGCCCCGACCCCCAGGGGCAGAGCTGGTGAATGCCCTGACCCCCAGGGGCAGAGCCACGCCCAATTTTTGCCTTTAGCGCCCGAAGGCCACATTCTGAATGGATTATCTTGGAACTTGGTATACTTATTCCTTATACCCTAAGGACGGCAACTATTGATGTTAGTGCACGACCCCCTCCTCCACCCCCATCCCTGCCCTTTCGACGGCGCCACACCCACTTTTTGTTGATATTTTGTCTCTAAATGATATACAGGTTGCAATTATTAACAGATTTGGATCCAATTCGGAATGACCAGCATAGGGTTGTACCTGTATATGTTGGTCTATGTTCATCCCTCATGGGCAGTCATGCCCAATTTTTGTGGGGTTTTTTTGTCTACATACTGGAATTCTAAATGGATCATCTTGGAACTTGGCATATTTATTCCTTATACTGTAAGGATAGCAACTATTAATTTTGGTGCATGTCCCGACCCCCGGGGGTGTTGTATCACACCCACTTTTTGTTAGTTTTTATCAGTAAATACTCTACAGGTGGCGATATGGAATTGTCTTTTTTATTACGCGAATGTCGCTTATATTTGTACAAGCTTTTTTTAAAAAAAAAAAATAATAAAATGCTCAGTTGCTCACAAAAACTATGGAAGGATAACATTGCCATTATGATTTCAATCGGATGGGACGAAAAACCGAGGTCCCGTGTACACATTGGCGTGCACGTAAAAGATCCCTTGGCAGTTGGAATTCGATATAAGAGTAGGCCGTATGGCACACTGTATGGCGTATGCCCGTCTTCATTAGCCCAGGTTAGGAGCAGAACAGTAGGACGTTAAACTCCATTTCATTTCATTTTCATTTCTATTATTTCAACGTTCATCGTCCAAAATGCATATGTCAGCAGTTCAAAATACTTTTTTTAGTTTTACAATTAAAATTTGCAATTTCCATTGCTCCACAATACCAATGCCGTAGTGTTAAAATACAAAATCGAACATGCACGGTGTTTCTGTACAGTTAAATCACGTCAAATCAAAAATATTGTTTTTATCCAACCAGCTAAGACGTCAAAGTCAAAGCAGAAGTCAAATCCCATATAAGGATTCTGCATGTATAGACCAACAAGACATTTTAACCGGAATAAAATAAGAATCATGGTAATGATAATATGGTGGGGGGGGGGGGGTAAAATGGGGTTTAACACCCAATTCTTCTGCGCCGACTGAAGACGGACGACAGCGGCGCTATGGTTTACACTGATTTCGATTTCCAACAGTCGCTGGAACTCGGCTTTTGTCCCATTCGAACGACTAGACACTGTCTTCTCCGTCCTATACCCACTGAAAAGGGGAAACTACGCTGGATCGAACCCCGGACCTAATGGTCCCGACCAGGTGGCAAATCGCCAAATGAGCACGTAGTGGCGACACCAAACTTCATAATGACGGTTGCTAGGCATAAATGTAAAAATTCTAAATTCGTTGATGTTCATGCTAAACGTGTAAAGTATCAATGAAGAAGACGTTTTTCGTTTAAATAATATAAATAAGATGAAATAGAATTAAAATTTATCCTGGACAAATAAAGAAGTTGGATTATATATTACGGAAGCGTATAGGGGTCATGCAAACTTTTGTAGAAGGTCTCGAGATCCTGCGATTTTGTGATACTTTCTCGAAATCCCGTGATCACCTGGTAATTTTCTCGAGATCTCAATTTAATGTTCTCGAAATCCCCTGATAATTTTCCTGAGATACTGACATCCTGTGTAAATTTTCTCGAGAATTCGAGTTAATGTTCTCGAGATATTGACATCCTATGTAAATTTTCTCGAGATCCCGAGTTAATATGAAACCTTATATGATCGTGTCTCCACATTGTGAAGCAACCATTGGCCCAATACTTCGTACCAAATTTGATAAAAAAAAATACTCTTAACATTTGTTACAAAGGAAAACTTATGAAAGAAAAAACAGACAATCGATAGAGTACCCATGATTTACACTAAATTTGAAATATGATTAAAATCGATAGGGTTTATCGTCTTATGGCCCCAATACTTCACACCGAATATGAAATTCAAAACCCTACCACGTTAGCTTTAATGTGTGAAGCTTTGAATTACAGACATGTTTGTTAAATTATTTCAATTTAAAGTGTGGGTGACGTTTAATTGAAAATGTCATTTTTTGCATGGTTTACTGGAAAATAGGAATAACCCCTTAACAAAACGTCAGGGAGCGCCGCAAATCAATAAGGTTCATTGTTCCGCCTAAAATAAATAGTGTTCCTCTGCTTATGACACTAATGATTCAAAAGAAATTTGAACAATAGTCAACCAAAATGTGGAGATACGCCCACGCAGCATCTATGCCCCAACAGCAGATTATTCGAAAGGAAAACTAATCTCTGAAAAATAACAGGGGGCATCCTTGTCACGGAACACTGAATACCGAAAATCCGTTAAAAACAAGATTTTCAAAGAATGGAGAGTATAACTCCGGAACGGAAGTTCGCTATACATTGAATATCAATAAAGTTCATGACCCCAAAGCTTCACACAAAATTGTAAAAGTGAAGCCTCTATGACGTGAACAAGGCTTTCAGGGAGCGGGCGGAGGCGGGGGTATATTAAGGAACAGAAGGTCACAAAATGCTGAATATCGATAGGGTTCGTCCTCTCATAGTCACATATTTGGAAAAAAAATACGGACAAAGGGGGTTTGCGGAGTACAGAAGTTTGCGGAGTACTGAAAATTGAATGGTCCTGTAGCCTCTATTGCGTTAACAAGTTTTTCGGAACAGCGAGATAACTCCAGAACGACAAGGTGCGCTAGAAGCGACAGGGACCGTCCTCTCATGGCCCCAATGCTTTACACTAAATTTGAAACAAATCCGTTAAAAACTGTAGGCTCTATCGTGCTATTAAGGTTTTCGGGAAAGTGTGTGTGTGGGGAGGGGGCGGGATTCAACTCCGAAACGACAGCTTGTGGGGGGCTGAGAATACGTTAAAACTACGCGCACACATAAAAATACCCGAGATCTCGAGAAAATTTACACAGGATTGCAAGATCCCGAGAACATTAAATCGAATTCTCGAGATCGTTAACACAGGATGGGAGATTCTCGAGAAGATTATTAGTAGATTTCGAGAACATTAAATTGAGATCTCGAGAAAGTATCACAGGATCGCAGGATCTTGAGGTCTTCTACAAAATTTCGCATGACCCCTATACGCTTCCGTAATATATTGTCTTAATTTTAAAATTACACGAATAGCAGTTAGAAATTACAAGAATAGAAGTTAAAAATTGCATGAACAGAAGTTAGAAATTAGACGATAGCACGTTAGAATTTTGAATCGAATATAACGCCATAATATCACCCCTCTCCTCATACAAGGAATATAAAACATATAATATACAAATCTGCTATGTACATACTATAAAATAATGATGAAAATCATATAGATTGAATAAGTTATATACACACTATTTAAAACAGATGAGGAAGTGGTGTTTTATAACATGATACAAAAGGTTCTTTAAATATAGAATCAGATATCGAAGTGTCTGGTAACATCGAAGTATTCATGTACAATTTTAATGACGTTATTAGATACAACCAGATTATCTATGCCAAAAAGAAGTGATTTAATTGATTGCTGGTATGATGGTAAAAGATTTATTGAAACTATGGGTCTTCGTACGCGTATGTCTTCATTGGCGCGGAAACAAGAGAATTATTTTCCGTGTGTGTTTTTGATTGATAAGATATGTCTTCCATGCAATTTTTTTGTTGATATGTAAAAGGGATTGGGTGGTTATCTAGTATGAAGAGAGAGTGCATCTGGATCTTGAATACGCAATTGATAAGGTTTATGTCTAATATCAGCTACTTAAATACTATTTATTAACGTATGAAGTGATTAGGCGTGTCGTGTAATACTGCCATTGCATCCAATCGTATTAGACCGACCGAGCAAAAATGCATAATTAGAGTGTTTAAACATCGTTAAACCAAACCTAGCAAATTCAAGTTCATTTAAATTTTAGGGACAGACAAGACGATAGGTGAGATTGGTCCTTTCTACTCGTTAATCGTCTGCTGGGGCCATTGTCTCACTGTTACCGGTTATCCACTGATTTCGGCCTGGGACTAGTTCCTATTAGCTTTAATAAGTTACGGTTGTCTAGTAGGTGACAGCGCACGTTTAATCCAAATAAAACACACAACGGCGCTTTCTAAGTGCACACAGATTACGATATGTTTGCCGATTGACAAAAGAAAAAGTTTTCTTCTGCGAGAACTTGACTCGGGCCCAGTACACACGTTTCTTGACGCGAGAAAATAGTTATCATTTTCAGCTAAATGGAGGAGATAACATCTGGACCAGTGTAAGCATATCCTGCCCAGTGTATTATCCTACGAAAATCGGTTTATTCTTCCATTTCAGGAGAGGTTGGCTGTTCGTGTCACACGCCCGTGTATCAACGATATGTTTTGGTTCAGAAAAATTTGGAGATTAAAATTAGTGTTAATTTGTTTTGCTTTACTGACACTGTTTCTCTTCTCAAAATCAGGTAAGAAGTGTTAATTGCCCTTCTAGTAAACTTTTGAAGAATCCACAGGGTATGATCTCCAGCTTATGGTTCGTATCCAGCTCCCACCCCGCCGCCCCAACTCCGAACACCACCACCTCATTTGTATTTCTGCCAATTATACTTATTAAAACTAGGACCAATTCGGTCAAGTACCAATGCTACGATAAAAAAAGAAAGAAGTCTCGATTTTCCAGATTAACGTTTAGGGAAGATATGGCGGACATTGTCTCATCCACTTAATACCTTAGCCAGTCAATGATCTAAAGAGTGAATAAATATCTAAATAATAATTTATATAACATTTGCAGCAAGAAAAGAGACAAGCCATAGTCAGCTTAAGTTCTAAGATGTTGCATCTTTAATTTATTTTTATTTGTTCCATATTCATATTTCAGGTGGAGATCTAAACACGTCCAAGAATTTTTTTTTATCTCGTAGTCTGATAGATGATGGAACTGTTAAAACTACAGTTAATAATACAAGCAGGTCATTATTTCTCTCCACAAAACCTAGAACTATGGTTATAATTTTAACTTATATGCGGAGTGGATCCTCTTTAACTGGTGATCTGATACAGCAAAGTCCCGATGTTTTCTATGTCTATGAACCGTTATACACTCTGGCTAAATTAAGGAAGACCGAGACTCATTTAACGTACTTTAATAAACCAGATAAGTAAGTTTTAATTAATTACAGTTTTGTTTGTTTGTGGGGGGGGGGGTCTAATGTCTGTGCTTTAGCTAGACCATAAGGTCTGTCTTCTATGGGAGCTGGGGTGACTCAGTGATTACTGTGCTGGCTTACTAACCAGGAGGTCCGGAGTTCGATTTTCATATTGAAGTGTTGTAGTGACAATTCGCGAGCGCAAGGTGCGAAAAGCACAGGACGTACATGCCATTTCAGGCCCCGTGTCCCCTAAATTAATGATTGGACCCATGTCTTATTACGATAGAGATCAGATTTCTTGAGGGCATTTAGTACTCAAGTTTTCCTTTCCGTTTAACTGCTGTCTATGACTATCTATTTTTCGAGACATAGCGTGTCTGTCTCTAACAAAAACAGTTAAAACGGACAGAGTGACCACATAATCTGAATTTACCGGAAACACATATAAAGCCAACAATTTTCACAAAGGGGAAATCTTCAAAACGGGTTAATTCATTTTCTATAAATTTATTGACTAAAATGGTATATTATTTATATTTCTTTTATTTATTACAGAGAAAATACTGCCAAAAGATATGACCTTAACGCACGGGAACTCATGGAATCAATGTTAACATGCAACTCTTACGATATAGATATACATACGCTCAGGCAATACCACTACGGTGGTAGCAAAACAACAAAGAAATATTTGGAATGTTTGAAAATTTCGCAAGGTGTGATGGGAACTGCGAGTTGCTTGCCCCTGTTTCAAAATGCATGCGCCAATTCTAAAGTGTCAGTGATGAAAACTATTCGAATGAGTGTGAAGTCGTTAAAACCATTGATGACCAAGTTCCCTACTCTAAAAGTAGTACATTTAATTCGGGATCCCCGTGGAACACTTCGTTCTCAACAAACGGTCGGCGAATTCAAAATAAAAGACGCTATCAACGCGACGGTTAAATTTTGCAGTCGCGTTATTGACGATTTGAAAGCATCGACTGAACTTTATAAAGTTTTCCCTGGAAGAATTAAAACTGTCCGTTATGAAGATATAGCCGAAGCGCCTATAAAAGCTACAGACGAGATCTACAAATTTATAGGTTTAAATATGACGTCATCAATTCGGGACTATATATGGAATATAACATCGGCAGGCCACCCTGATAACTGTGTAATTTGTACAACCCGTAATAGCTCTATAGCAACCGCGTACAAATGGCGTCAAAAATTAAAATTTGACGTGGTTACAATGATAGACAATGTTTGCTCAACAGTCTACAATAAACTTGGTTATCTCCCATTAAAAAACGTAAACGATATGAAAAATATGAAAATATCGGTTAAGAAACCAATGAAATTTACGCCATAAACGACATTTACGCCTTTCGTCTTTGTGTTCAGGATATCGAAACGGGGCGACCATTCGTGGCAACAAATTGGTTATTCTTTACTTTAAATTGTCTAAAGCACACTAGTCTATCCCGATAATCAAGCACTCTAGTTTATTCCGTTATCAATCTCGAAATCGTTTAAGTCGAGGATCTGGAATATCTCCGGGACAATATTGTTGAAATCCATAGACCTGAGGTGGTTCTATAAGGTCATCTTGTTTGGCGTTGATTTGTCGTCGTCGCTTTGACTTTGTAGCTGTTATCTGATATTCTGTGAAGTTTCATAATCTGTTTATGTCGAACCGAGATAATAATATATTAAAATAGATGTAGTGACTGAAACATAAAAAAAAATTAATTAAGAAGACAAAGATGTGTTAAATAAGAGACAAATGTTTTAGTTAAGAAGACAAGATGTTTTAATTAAGAAGACAGATGTGTTAATTAAGACAAATGTGTTAATTAAGACAAATGTGTTAATTACGAAGACAAATGCTATAAGAAGGCTGAATTGTACTGTCGAGAAAATTTTCGCCACTTATAAACCCAGTCATTGTTCCCAATACAATCATAACCTACGATATTTCGATACCCAATGTAGCCAATTCATTAAGATTCTTGGGCAACGGTTCTTACGATGCGTTACAGCTAAAAGACTACTAGCTAGAGGGGAACAAGCAGAGGCAAATTTCGGACATTGATGGCACATACGCTTTGGAATAGACATCTCTTGTAATCTATACTAGAATAATTTTACAGACAAATTGCATCATAACAGACATGTAATCATTGTCAGTCAACGGCCATTTGAATACATGTACTTTATTTGCATATAGTAACCAGGCTTAAGACTACAAATTTGATAATGTTAGAGATACATTATGTAAGATTTAGATAAAGAACTGACCGTTCTTGCTATAATAGTTCAAAAATACATAATGCTAAATGAATATATCGAAAATTTCATTTAAATTACTTTATTCTGAGCAAAGCTATAATAGTCAAAAAATACATAATGCTAAATGAATATATCGAAAATTTCATTTAAATTACTTTATTCTGAGCAAAGTTATCAATGTTTGTAGTTTTGACAAGATGTGTGCATTGATTGTTTATTATCGTAACCACGGTATTGGTTATTCGAGTCTTTGCCTCAAATGTACTTACAATCCGATTATGGCCTTGTCATGTTAATAAATGTCTAATTAATAATTTATATAACATTAAAGGCCCAAAGAAAGGCCTGTAATAGTCAGGTTTAGCTCCTAAATAGTATCTCTTTAAATAAAAGAAAGTACTCTTTCGTTCGATATACTATGCGGAAGATGGCATGATACCACTGTACAGTATATTTGGACAGAAAATACTGGTATATGCATCAAGGAAAGCATCGCCATTTCATCTCATTTGTGATGATTTACAGAGCCAGACGACATACATTTCATTAATTTCATTCCATAATGCCATTGGTATCTCACACACAGTAGAACATTTCAGTCACAGGCACTTGCGGCATTAAAATTTCTAATTATTATCTTGTCTAGTATACTACAGTGATTGGATAGAGAAACACTTGACAATTCTCTCGTTGTTTCTCTAGTTAACATGACCAGGGTTACTCATTGAGTAAGGCGCTGGGTCACCAACCAAGTGGTTGGCTGTGAAAGTTTCTCACGATTTTCCGAGGTCCCATAAACAGAGAATCCATGACCGCCGGAATTCGATGAAAAGTAGGCGGAAATGCCGCTCTTTGGGGTTCATTAGGGCAGAGGGGAGTTGGATGGCCGAAAAGTTAGCGCGCTTCATCATAAGGTCTATCATTGAGTCAACTGGCGTGGTTTCGATTGACCGGTTGTACGTGATAAGGAGTAGGATCGTCTTTCCAACATCGTGGGTTTTCTCCGGGTCCTCCGGTTTCCCCCCACTGCTAAAGACCCTACGCGTAGGCGAATTATTGAAATAAAACTGAACCATATGCCCGAAATGACCTAGTTTGTGTCGAGTGGACGTAAACCACATTTCTCTCTATCTCTCTCATTAGTGCAGAAAAGTACGATGTTAATAAATTAAATCCCATTTCATTTCATGTCAGTTTTCATTTTCCCGGGCGGGGGTGGGGGGCAGTGCCTTTCTCCCCAAGACTCTCATGGTTTAAATATGCCGCGTTGTAAGGAAAGTGGCTGTAGTGAAGAGGGTATGTACAATCAGTGCTAATAACCCATCGAAGATCTTTGGGATTTAAACATATATTTTAAGTTTCATCAAAAACGGATAAACTTGTGACCTGTAGAGTGTCCACAAACAAATGTGAACGGACGTCTTTCGAACGGACATTGGCGACTGCATAATACCCCCTTATGAAATATATCACAGTATATCGTTTTAAAGATTAGTCCCTATAAGGCAAAACAACTGTCTATGTAAGTATCAAACATGATATCACAGACTGTGTAGGATCAAGTATTGGGAATACTAAATGCGTAGAATTATATGCATAGAGTACCTAAAGCAGTGGACACATTAGCCGAATCGTTCGGCCGAATCAATGGGCGCCGAATTTTATTCGGCCGAATGGGTGGACACACTAGCCGAATGCTTCGCCCGATTTAGCCTGCCGATTGCATCACCTTTCACGTCACATGATTAAACATGACGGCGTCTATGTCTTCAATCTAGCATGTGACTTCTCGATATGAGTGGTGATTGGCTAATGAATTCTATATTCGGCCGAATGCTTCGGCGAAGCGGACACACCAGGCGAATATAATTCGCCCGAATAAATATTCGGCCGAATATATCAAACCTGTTTGATTCGGGCGAATCATTCGGCCGAATAGAAATTCGGCCGAATGACAGTGGACACACTAGGCGAATTTCGACGCCGATTGATTCGGCCGAATCATTCGGCTAGTGTGTCCACCGCTTAATGAGTACGTTAACCACCATCAGATAAGTACTTATAAGGGTTCGTCTCTCTGGTTTACTTTCCAAGCATCATCGTCAAAAACAACCAGAACACCTGGTTATAACTATAGTCACTCCTGGTGTCATCTGTATTGTCCGCCTCTCGTTCCACTTCCGGTATGGCAGGGAGTAAAGTTCCTATTAATTCTGACACCCGTTGTTCAGACCAATTCATGGGAGTCCAGAGTCAGCACTACGCCAAATAATGTCAATGGAGTGTGCCATTTGTTTTTACTCTTTGCACAAGGTGAGACACCACCTTTAATACTTGTCCAATGATAACGTATAAAAATGTGGTAAAGGGGCATTATGTAAGATTAGATAAAGAGCTGACAGTTCTCACTATAATAGTTAAAAATAGATAATGACAAGGGAATATGTTGAAAATTTCAGTCAAATTACTTCACTCTGGGCCGAGTTATCGCCCATATACAGTTATTGTGTAGTCTTGATTATCATCCCTACCCTTGTTACGATTATCCAGTTTTACGTTAAATCATCAACCGCAAATCGTATTTAAATCTATTGAAAATCTAGACTATCCGATGGAGCCGTGAGTTAATCATGGTCTTGGTAAGTTACTTATTAGGCACAAAGAAAGACCTGCAATAGGCAGATTTAGCTCTTGCATAATGTATGTTTAATCTGTCACTTGAATAATAGTAAAAGAAGGTGTCCATACATAAATTGTCAATGAATGCTCCAATATTTGTAACCTTTGTTCGACAAAAGTTTAGGATTGGTAAACATGTATAAACATAGTGTATATATAAAACAAGGAAGTACTTTATCTATTTTAATCTGTATGTATAAAACTATTACTGATGTTTAATTATGTATGTATATTATAACATCTGAAGACTTATGCTTTGATGTCTATCAGAATAAAGAAGTAAAAGTGGTTGAATTTGTTTTAAGTGGACTATTTGTTTGTTTTTGTTTTTTGGTTTTTTTTGGTTTTTTTAAATTGTGTTTTATAACATTTGAAGACGCCTATTAAAGGCAGACCACAAACAGCTAGCTTATAATTTGATGTATCAGAATGAAGAAGAAAAAGTGGTTGATTGTTTAACTGAACATATTTTTAATTTTTTTATGTATAGATATTTATTAGATATACATTTAAAGATTTATGGAATAATATAGATAATCATTTAAACGAAGACATAAAAGTTTTGTTTTTATACTCCCACTGGACGTAGTTTGCCGTCGCCCCTGTCCGTCCGTCTGTACGTCCACAATTTGTTTGTAGACACTCTACAGGTCACAATTTTTATCCAATTTTAACGAAACTTGAAATATAGGCCTAGGCCTATATCTTCCCAATAATCGCGGTTCCTTTCGATATATGCATGTATCAGACATTAACTTCGTGGATTATGGCCCCTGATTTTCATCGCATTTTTACGAAACGTGATATGCATGTTTATAACCCAATTATATAACGATCTTGGTTCCTGTCGATATTCGCGCATATTGGATCGTAACTTCCTGAATCATGGCCCCTGATTGTACGAAAAATCGCGTTTTTAGCTTGTGGTCCCACTGCGGTCACAATTTTTATCCGATTTAAACAAACGTTCGGATATATCACCTTTACACCAGAATGTCAGTTGAGTTCGAATTTCGTGAAAATCTGTGGGCATATAAACTTAACCTCAAGAGTTAAAATTTGTGATTTGGACACAGATCACCAAATATTCCTACGCCGTCCCTACGCCGTCACCCAAGGGCCAAAGCTATTTTTAGTCTTCCTCTCCCTTTTCCTTTTTCCCCCTTTTGCATGGCGATTTTTGTTGACTTTTTGGTGTAGAATTGAGGAAAAGGGTTTGAAAATACATTTTCTGCCAGGTTTTGGTGAATATTCATAATTTTGATGCGGAAGGATACTTTAAGAGTTGAGAGGTTGGTTACGTTGAAATGTAGGGCCTGAAATTGCATGTTTACTTGTCTCTACTTCCAGCTTGTGTATCTCAAGTTTTTCATGAAGAACCTCATACGTGCTTTTGGGCAAGTGGTTGCCACATGTTGCTCCATCTGTGGTAGAAAGCGTTCTACCCAACGAAAATTTGGGAAAAAGTTAGAGCCGGTCTAAGATACGAGAATTAACATTGGAGTCAATGGGGAAATCTTTAGTGATCTGTGTCCATTTGACTATGAAGGGACATAACTCTGAAAGTCAATCAGGATTCAGACTAGTGAATTTCTCACCATTAGTAATTCCATGACATTGTTTTTTAATACATCAATGATCTTAATTTTTACAGCCCCACAGCGTCCAACAGGTTACAGTCACCTGATAAAAATATTGAAGCGGATAGACTATTCCAAATTTTTGCTAATTTAAAGTTTGATTGACTTCTAGTATTTTCCCTTTATACAAAACAAAGATAGGTTGCCAGGCAACGAAACATATCGTCCGAGTGGTCGACCAGGGTTGTCGCATATTTATTCTTTTGTAGGTAATTGGGGGCATTTACAAGACAATTTCATACACATCAGATTATAATTTTCGTCGTTTGAGGGTTTACAAGATTCTACAATCTGAAACAAGGGCCTTAACTCTGGAAGTAATTTACGTTTTACTTTTAATTTTTCGTTTTACTAATTTAAATAATGCATACAGGTCGGATGATAAGTTTTGTCATTCAAACGTTCACAAGGTTCACGAAGTAAAACAAGAGCCATAAATCTAGAAGTAATCGACGGAAATTGCTGAAATTAAATAGACTTCTTCGTTTCACTAATCTAAATGATGCATATGCATTTCATACTGAGCGAATGATAACATTTGTCGGGCGAGTATTGACAAGGTTGAACAAAGTGAAAGAAGCCAACAGTGAGGCTGATGTCCACCGCCGAAATCCCAAAATAAATAGATAACACGACATATCAATTAATCGCACATTTATTTTTTTCAAAAGTATCGAGCAATCAAACTGATTATCAACTATACACTAAGTTTCATCACTCTCTATCAGATAGAATCAAAGTTATCTTGTCCCAAAGCATCCACCAATGAAATTGATCAGTCAAGACATTCACTTAATGAACATCTACATAAAGTTAAACATTCTACCTCGATTAGAAGCAGCGTTGGCCAATCAAATTGCTTACCGCTCCTTAGCCTAAGCAGAAAATTCTCATCATCGAACTTAGTCAATGTAATGATATAATGAATCTATGCTAGGAGTTGCGTCGCTCTCGCTTAATTATAACCAAAGTTATCGTGCCCCAAAGCATCAACCAATCAGACTACTTATCTCTGCTTACCGTAAGCAGACAATGTTCATCGTCGAACTCCATCAAGGTATTCACATAATAAACGCCTACAACAAGTTTGAATATTCTGCTTCAATTAGGAGAACAAGCCAACAGTGAGGCTAATGTACCCCACCGAAATCCCCAAATAAATAGATGACACATATTAATTAGTTGCACATCTATTTTTTTCAAAAGTTTCAAGTAATCAAACTATACACTAAGTTTAATCACTCTCTATCACATAGAATTAAAGTTATCTTGTCCCAAAGCATCGACCAAGGAAATTGCTTATCTCTGCTTAGCTTTAGCTCGATATGTTAATCATTGAACTCAGTCAAGATGAACATCTACATCAAGTTTAAACATTCTACCTCAATTAGAAGCAGAGTTGTTATGTTCCAAAGTCTTGACCAATCAAAATGCGTATTGCTTCTTAGCTTAAGCAGACAATTCTCATCATCGAACTTAGTCAAGGTATTGATGTAATGAAACTATACACCATGTTTCATCACTGGTGTCCCAAAGCATCAACCAATCAAATTGCTTATCTCTACTTACCATAAGTAGAAAATTCTCATCTTCACACTCTATCAAGGCATTGACCACATAAACACCTACACCACGTTTGAACATTCTAGCTCAGTGTGCTATGAGGGAAATTTTGCCCGGGCAACGGCACTATCGCCTACTCTTATATCGAATTCCTACTGCCAAGGGATCTTTTACGTGCATTCCAATGTTTACACGGGACCTCGGTTTTCCGTTTCATCCGAAGGACTAGACAGCTGTCCTTGTCAGGCCCTCCGTCCTGCATCACTGACAAGGGGAAACCAAGTCGGAAAATCGGGATGAACTTTCTTGGCCAATGCAGGGATCGAACACCCGACCTCCAGGCTAGCGAGCCAGCGCCTTACCCACCTAGCCACCGTGGCTCCCCATTATCGAACTTAGTCAAGGTATTGATGTAATGAAACTATACACCAAGTTTCATCACTCTCACTTAATTAGAACTAAGTTATCGTGTCCCAAAGCATCAACCAAATTGCTTATCTCTGCTTACCCTAAGCAGAAAATGTTCATCTTCGAACTCCATCAAGGCATTGACCTAATAAACACCTGACAGACAGATGGGGGACAACAAGGGCCATAAACAAAAATTACTGAAATTCAATAAGCTTCTTCGTTTCACTAATTTAAATAATGCATATAAATTTCACAAAGATTGGATGATAACTTTTGGCTTTTACTGCATTCACAAGGTTCAACAAAATGAAACAAGGGCCATAACTCTAGATGTAATTAACGGAAATTGCTGAAATTCAATACGATTCCTCTTTTCACTCATAGCGCATATGAATTTCATTCAGATCGGCAGATAACTTTTGATGTTAGAGCGTTCACAAGGTGCAACAAAGTGAAACAAGGGATATAACTCTAGAAGTAATGAACGGAAATTATTGAAATTAAATAGGATTCACAGACCAACGGACCGACAGTCGGACGGGAGTGATGGCAATATACGTCCCCATTTAGTTGTTCTTGGAAATCATTGAAAATCAATAGAAATGAAATGGAAAAGAGTTTGAACTCAAACTCCCACTCTGGTTCTTTTACATGTACACGATTTCAGTTTTTCATCTCATCTAACCCACTAGACACAGTTTCTTGCCAGTCCCTTTGCCATGCAACACTGACAAGGGAACACCGTGCTGAAACATTTCTCACTTGTGAAATCAATAGGCTTCTTCACATAAACAATGTGTATCAAATCAATAGAGCAATCAATTTAGCCATCAGAAAATCTCTCTGAAAGTATTTCTAGGCTGATGATCTTTATTTTGACCTTAGATTTGAGCTTGATGCTTAGCCTCCTACTTTTCTAGACCAAATGGGATGATGAAGACAGGCATTTCCCACACATATTATTTTGGTATATATCATTATCAGTTGTGTTAGTACATTGAAGGAAATGATTTTAGATCTATTTCTTTCTTAATGTTATATTACAAATTAAAATACAAAATATTAAATTATACAATAATACATAGACAATAGAAGGCATTTCATGAAATCGTATTTATTTATACAATGACACTTCATATATGATAAAAGATTAGTGACCCAGGTTTATATGTAATTGTGTATAACTCAAAAATAATGAATGGACAGTTCACAATTGAGCTTATGAAAAAAAGTATATATATTATGCAGTTTGGCTCGGCACCTTTTACAGATACAAAAACTAAAACCAATGCAAGTAAAAAGTTTGTAATATGTAACACAGAGTAGGCCCAATAATAAGCAAAACAGAAAAAGATCTGATTAACAAATAGTGCTAATAATAACCAGTTGGATTTGCTAAAAAAAAAGCCCTGAGCAGAAATAGAAAAAAAAAACAAGATAAACCAATTCTTGGTGATTGCATGTACCATATGAAAATAGGGACTCTAAGACACATAACTGACATAGTTTCATGTATAGCAACCCTAGTCAAACAAGGTACTGAAATAGAGAGAGAGAGAAATGGGGTTTAATGTCCACTCAATACAAACTAGTTCTTTTAGGGACTAACACATGGTTCAGTTTTATTTCAATAATTCGCTTGCGCATAGGGGTCTTTAGCAGTGGGAGGAAACCGG